AGCATTTAAGATTGATTTGACTTGACTCACATTACTTTCATCGCCCATGTTACTTCTTATTTGATAAGGACTTGTAGTAGAAAAACGATCAACATCATCATTTACATTTTGTTTATATTCATTTTTCTATTGATCATAAATAAATATTTCTTAGTTTATAAAATAAAAATTTTGAGATAAGTTTTATGTATAAAAATGTGTGTAACTATCTAAAAAATGTTAACAGATGACACCATATTATTTTAAACTTATTGTATTTACAATAACCTATGTATTTTTATTTTTTACAATAAAATAATTGGATCATTGTCATAAGCCAAAAATATCAGAGATTATTTTCAAGTAAAAAAATAAATGTGAAGTCACTGTTGTATAGTAGGTGTCAAGTGTACCACGTGTCATTGAGTTATGACTTAAGAAACATATTAATTATACATTATTCAAATTGTTATTACGACCTTTTTAGATAAATATGAAAAATAAATTGAGTGTGAACTCACTAATTTTCTATGAGAATTTGGATAAAAAAGCATAGTAAATATTAATAATATAATAAAATATAAAATGTTTTCGGCAAAAATTAAATCATCCTACCGAGATAATACTTATAGCATTGAATTTGTATTTAACTTATACATTACAGCAACCTACTCAATGACAATAATTACTCAACACTTTCAGTTACTGTACAATAGCACAGAAACCACCTCYTTCTCCCCCTTTTTTTCATGATTATTTTAAAATGTACTAAGAAATTTCTAATTTGGACCCACCAAATCACTAACTAAATTCAAATTGCTACCAGGCACCTTTCTCAAAATTGGTAATTAAAGAATTTTTTCTAGTAAGTATGTGTTACTTAACTGACTTTGTTTAGTATAGACATAATTTTTTTTTTTTAACACATCATTGTAAAGTCAATACTTATATTTAAATAATAAAAATAAATGCAATTTGAAACTAAAACTTAATTACCTCTATTTTATTGGCACTTTTATCTTCATGTTTTAAATTAATACTTTTAAATGATGAGTTTAATGAATTCTCAATTTGTTTTGCATCGTTTTTATGTTTTAAAACATTTGACGAAATTGTTGTTATCTACAAAACATAAAATTATTAGATGTTATAGCTAGTGATGGGTTGAACTGTTTGAAATACAAACTCGATATGAAAAAAATTTGAACAGAACTATCAAGCGTATTTTACAGTTTGAAAATCAAAATTGGCAATATTTGTCGAACTAGACTTCTGACTTGATAGCCACAACAGTTCAAAGACCAAATATTTGTACGATTCAAAAGTTATTTAAAGAAATAAAAATTGATAGTGATATTTGGAAACAATTTGTAAATTAACAGTTTTATATTTAATTTAGTATGTTTTTTGCGAATTTTATATAAACTACAATTTTTTCTTCAGAAAAAACGCTGAATTTAGGTTTTGCCTTTAGGCAGTATTATTGAAAATTTTTAACTTTGTTAAATTATTTTGTATATCCTATTTTATTTAGTTAATTTATATTTTAATGCACTACTAATAATAATATTAAAGTAAAAAATATATTGATTACAAATTTCAAATAATTAATATGTCATAAAAACATAGAAAATCTAAATTATTAAACGTTTTAATTTCAACCTACAAAACCACAAAAATTCTTTAATCAAAGAACTTGCGTCTATAAATATACCCGGCAACCCACAAAAAAGGTTGAAATGGCGGTGGTGTAGGGACCTATTAGTCTAGACCAATCTAACTCYTTTTGTTCTTCTTTCTATATCTACCTTTGCTATTTCCACTTATCTTTCCTTATGATATTTTCTAACATTGTTTAACACTTTTTTTTTTCTCTCATCTTTAGCTGTAAAAGGTATCTTTAATTCGTACTTCACGCCATAGTAATCTATTTCACTTATTGTTCAAAATTTATGTAAAAGATTGTGGAAATATAAATAAAGTAATAAAAAAAAAAAAAAAATTATTAAATATATTCAAAAAAAATATAAGTACAACTTACCTGTGAGGCAGCAACATCAACAGACTTAATATGTTTCTTCACTTTAGAACTACCAGTATGTATTAAAGGTGAACC